TAGGGTATAAGTTATTTTCTAGTGCTAAATGCTAGAAAATAATCTTGCCCAAGTTGTACGGGTTATTTTCAGCACTTGGCATTCGAAAATAATCAAAAACAAATATATATATATATATATATATATTTTTCACCTTTTTTTTTTCAACACAAAATGCTAGAAAATGTTTAGAATCGTCAAAGTTAAGTGGTAGAAATAGGGTATAAGTTATTTTCTAGTGCTAAATGCTAGAAAATAATCTTGCCCAAGTTGTACGGGTTATTTTCAGCACTTGGCATTCGAAAATAATCATGTCCAATTGATTTAAATTATTTTCTAGTGCTTGGCGCTAGAATGTGCTTGTATCCAATTGGTTCAACCTATTTTCTAGGTTTTGACGTTGGAAAATACTCATATTCAATTGGTTTAGGTTATTTTCTAATACTTAACACTAGAAAATAAGTTTATTAAGAAATTTAGGAATCAAATATTCAACTTTTTTTCTTTTAAAAATTCAAAATCCCGCCTATTTGGAAAATAATTTTATCTAAAGTTTGAAGTCTTGCATTCAAGCATCATTTTTCCTTGTAAAATTTTCAAAATCCTGCCACATTATTTTCCAATGCTTAACTGTAGAAAATAATATTTATCTATATAAACCTCTAACCTTCCCTTCCTCAACATTTTATCCCATCTTCTTCTTTGTTCCCTTTCATTTTTGTAATATCCCAAATTTTCGGGAATATTTAAGTGTAAGTTAAGGACTTGATTGTGAGAAAAGATTGTTTTGGGGCCTAATGTGAATATTTCAAAAGTTGAGGGACTTAAAGAGGGAAAGATTTTGGATAATGATGACTTCTTTTCTTTTTCTTTTTCTTTCTTTCTTTTCTTTTTCTTTTTCTTTCTTTCTTTTCTTCCCAGCCTTGCCCGATTCTGCTCTTCTTCTCCTTTCTTCCCACTGCAGCCACTCGAAAGAAAAAAAAAGGGGAACCCAACCATGCCTTTGAGAAACCGGTGAGATAAGCTTGGTTTTCTCCTTCCTTTCTTGCTCTAGAACACACCTAGAACTCAGAAATCTTCCCCCCTGCTGGAAAAGCCGAATATGCCCTGCTCTGCTTTATCCTTCCGCCGGCTGCTCTTGATTGTGGGTGATTTCTGGGCATTTTTTTTTCAGTAAGAACAGCCCCTAATTCCTTTGTTCTTGCTTGAATTGGCTTGAGTTAACTTTGATTGCTCTTATTTCCTTCAATTTTGGGTTAGTTCCCGTGAGCTTCCCTTGCACTTGCCGCCGACTTCTCCCCCTGCCAAGTCCGATTCTGCAACTGGAAAATTTATGGTAGGTTGGCTTCTCTAATTCTCGAAAATTTGTTGATTAGTGGCTGCTTTGTGATGTCTGAATTTGGCTACAAAATGGGGATGAAATTGATAGTAATTAGACCATGATTTAGCTTGATTCAAGTGGAATTTATATGATTGAGTCTTAATGGACTGCTATGTGATTTTTTGGAGGGAAATCCCGTGAGATTAGCTAGTGTTTTGGCCAAATTGTGGAAGTGGAGTTACTGTTCACGTTGGGGTCACTGTTCACCGGCACTGTTCACCGGTTACTGTTCACACCCCGAGGGCAACTTTTAACGGGAATTTAAATGATTAGTTTGTGATATGAGAACGAATTTGGAGATATTTGATCATGTGGAGATTTATGGAAATAGCATTGTGATTAGGAATGATCCTAATGAAGTGTTCAGTGTGAATTTGTGATAGTATGGTATTGATTCTCGGATTTTTGATTAGGTTCTTGATCGTTCTCTCAGTTAGTGCGTGAATTGAGTGCTCGATTTTATGCGAGTGAGGTAAGTAAATTTATGGTAATGCCCGTACTATTTTAAAAGCATGTTTTGATTTGTTTTTGAAGTGGTGGCAGGACTAAACCCGTTTTACACAAGTGTGACTGATTTGAAGTGAAATGTTTTATGCTTTTCATTAAATTGAGCATGCCTACTTGAAATTTAAGTGACTGTCCTGATGATCTGAAAGTGATAGTGAATTATGATCTTTCTGTTAACTTCTGCCTATTTTGTCTCCGATGTGGTCATGTTATTCGTGACCCTGCTAGTGGGGGAGGTTATAAACACTAGCACATGTCGGCACATGTCGATATGTTATTCGTGACCCGGCTAGTGGGGGAGGTTATAAACGCTAGCACATGTCGACATGTTAGTGAAAGAGCCAGTTTGTTCAACCCAGCTAGTGGGGGAGGTTATAAACGCTAGCACATGTCGACATGTTAGTGAAAGAGCCGGTTCGTTCAACCCAGCTAGTGGGGGTTATACACCAGCAAATCGTGGCCCTGCTAGTAGGGATTATACACTGGCCGTGACCTATAGAGGAGACGACTATTTCGTACCCGTACTGTATCTGTTTTCGTGATTGTACTTGTTGGCATGCTTTAAGTTTGATAAGGGGCATTCCATATTTACTTACTGAGTTTATCTCATAGTTTTTCCTTGTCCACCATTTCAGGAAGCGAAATTGAGGACAAGGAAACCATGGGAAGTGACGAGTTAGAAGGCTAGCCATATTGTAATTTGATATGAATTTTAGAAACAAATCATGATCTTGTATTTGGAGATTTTATTGGAGACTTATGATATCAGAGAGTTTATAAAATTGATCTTTAGATTTTGATGGTATCAGAGTGTGAATTTGATAAGTTTCGAGCCTTGTGCATTTGTGGGACCCGTCTCACGAGTGCACGGCGTCTGTCGCGCCTCGAATTTGGGTTTTGGGGCGTGACAATTTTTCTCATCCCTTATCCGAATTCACTTTCTCTTTTCTCCTCTCTTCCTTTACTCCACTCATGTATTTCACTCTCATCTTAATCTTCCATTTTCTCTTCTCTCCGTTTCCTCTTCCTTTTCCTTTTCCATTTCATCTTCATTTCTTCTACTTTCCTTATTGCTTTTCTCTTGTTCTCTCCATTCCTCTTCCTTTAATATGTTACTTGAAATAAGAGATACTATTCATTTCAATTTATTGGTAGTTTAATTTTTAATTTTCTTTATC